GTTTGAAAAAAAAAATGCTGCGCATCAGTGCTTTTCAATCTTATCAATTCCATTGATAGTAACTGTTTTTTTAATCAGTGTTTATCAAAATTACCTAATGTGAAATTCAATGTTACTTCAATTAAATACCAGAAGGCACATTTTCCACTCTGAAGCTATTGAAGAATTATTTGCGATCAACTTAATGAACGGAGAGAAGCTTAATGGGTTATAGCTACACGAAAAAGACAAACAAATCGGAAAAAATCACGAAAAAAGAAGTTATACGTGTTTCTTTCTTCAAAATCGTATCGACGTATGTCGTTATATTAGACTGTCCGAAACGAACAGTAACGAATTGAAATATTTAATTCCGTTAATATTTATCTAAACTAATGTTATAGCGGTGAAAAAAAAAAAAAATAAAAAATGTTTTCTATTAACCGTTGAGTATATTTTCAAAACGCGTTTGTCGTTGCCGCCGCCGCCGCCGCCGCACTCCCCGGTCATTTCGAAACTCTGGCCGCGCGGCCGAACGACAACGACGACGGTAACCGTGTAACGATAACGCGGTGAGAATTACACGCGCGCGAACTCGAAAACGAGTCTCGGGCGCGTAGGTACGCGTGCGGCGGCGGCGGCAGTCGCGTCGTCCGCGCGCGCCGCGGGTCGGCAGTTCGCGAAGCGCGAAACGGCGGGACGAGTCGAAGGAGACGATATTATTATTATTATTATTATTATATTATCGTTGTACTCGCGCGCGCGTGTGTGTGCGCGCGTGTGTATGTGTACGTACGTGTGTGTGTGTGTGTGTACGTACGTGAGTGTGTGTATATTATCGTACGCGGGTAGCGCGGGGGTACTCGGCGAACAATGCGCACCTCGTATAGGTACGCGTAATACTCCGCCGGCGGCGGCCGTGCGGGCGGGAGCGTGTGGAGGATATTAGAAAAGTTTAAATTGCGCGCCCGCGCTTGTGTGCGTGTGCGTGCGGGCGGCACGGGCCGGGGGGACGCAACGCGCACGGCGGGGAGGGAAGGGGAAGACGACAATGCGGCTCTCGGAGAGTGTGGCGCTCGCTCGCTGCAACGTCCCGGACGACGGCGATATATTATATTTTACGGTGTAATGTAATAATACCGAGGGGGCGGGGGTGAGGGGGGGTGCGGCGAACTGCGGAGGATCGCCCCGGCCGCCGGCGAGGCACGCTATATAGGTGCGTACGTCCGGGTCGCGCGGTTACGGCGCGTATTGCGTGCGCGTAGGTACCGTACCGGAATCCCTTTTTTTCGAGGAGGGCCCCGGGAACGGGGGTGGGGAAAAAAAACCCGGGATCGCCGACAGGCGTTTATTTTCGAGAACGCTGCGGAGTGACCGGTGTGCGAAGCGCGAGCGCGGTCCGGCCGAGAGCGCGAGTCCAAACGGACGGGGGCACACTTCGCGCGCGACGGTTAACCGGTGCCGACGGAAAAGCCGGTTCCGAGCGGAGTCGCGTTGTGTTTGTCAACGGTTTGAAAAACGACGTTCTGAGAGTACCGCCACCTCCCCCCCCCCGAGAAAATCCCCTTTCATTAATAGGTGCTACACTTGATACCTCGGCGGAAGACTCTTGGTAGAATTTCGATACGTACACAGTGTACAAAAAAAATTGACGTGAAAACCGATCGTATCCATCCGTAACGTCCAATACTGTCGTGGGCCGAAATTTCTTTACATTTAAAAAAAAATAACGAAAAGAACGGTTTTCGTTAATAATCCCGAGACGAGTTTTTCGCAGCTCTCCGGCTTTTTTCGGTCTCTTTAGACGCTTACATTTTTTTTCCTATCCGCGTCCTCGTCACGGTTCGGACGATTCGTGTTCCCTTCCCGCGTACCCTCACACATCTCAGCCTTTAACGATCGTTCGCAGTCTTTAATATGATATCATTATGTCACCGTAACTCTTCTGAAATCTATACATTTCCGTATAGTTGCCGTTTTCCCGTTTAAAACCTCTTTGTTCGAACGATTCGTTCAGTCACGCAGGATTTTTAGCATTATTTTCAATGCAAACTCGTCTCGAAACTCGGTTTACGTCAACTGGACGTATGCCGATTTGTGATTTTCGTAAAATAATTCCCGACAAATTTTACGGCTCCTGGATCAAATAAGCTCTGGAATCGTAAGTCGTTTTGTAGGCGGATTGGAGCGATCAAATTTTGGTTAAATTTCGTCATGACTTTACCGCGATGATCCACCATGAGAGATGGATGTTTTTTTTAGCCTTGTATATCCCACTTCAGACCCCCGAAATGATGTTAGGGAGATGACATTTTCAATATGCATGGTTTCAACGGCAAATATATCGAGAACGTGCCGTTTGCGCGTGCAGGGTATTACATGGATAAAATCGTTTCACCGAAATGCATGCAAATTTAACACGAGGTCCATTATATAAGTTGCACAAAGCGATTAAAAAAAAAAAAAAAACAAATATTCGGGCGTGCTGCAATAGTTTTTTTTTCTATAAGCGATTAGAGATAAAATTTAAGCGAACGTCGTAAAAATTACGGCGTTTCAAAACGCGCGTTTGTTCGAAACTCGGCTCGTTTTTCGCCAGTGACGGTTCGTATCGTCGCTAAATTAAATTCGGCTTTTTTGAACAATAGCGTTCCCGGGGCCCGGGGCAAAAGGGGCCGATCTCGATTTCGGGAAATTAGATCGAATAAATCACATTTTCGGGGCTTTTAGACAATGCAATAGTGATCGTTCTAACAGCATCATCATTGCGGGTCATCTCGAATCGGGCTCGAATAACGGTTACACCGAGATACGCGCTTTTACCGCCAGACAATATCGCGCGCGATATCGTTGACGATTGGCCATCACACGGACTCATTACCCACCATCACCGACCCTCCCCCCCTCACCCGCGAAAACGCGACCCCGGTCCCCTAACGACCCGAACCCCTCGAACGCGTACATTGCGGCCGGCGGTCGTGTTTTCGCTCGTGTCGTTCATCGCGCTCGTAACGATTATCGGCGCGCGCGGCCCGCGGACGGATCCGCCGCGATTTGTTTTTTCGGGGCCGCAGGTTGTCGAGCGCCCGTGATGAGGTATTGATAAGCGGAGTTTTTCGCGCGCCAGCTGAACCAATTATAGCCGGACTTAGAGTTTCGGCAACCTTCGCGCGCCCGTTCCGCTCCGCGCGCAGCCCCACCGTGCCGGGCGGCGTTCCCGGCGGGCAGGGCCGCCGCGAAATCCGCACGCATCCGTTACGCGCGGGGATCGCCCGCCGCCGCGACCCCGGCGCCCTCCGCGGCGGCGACGACGGCGACGCGTTATTTGACACATTATTTTTATTTATTATTTTTCGTCTTTCGCCGGGCGCTTTATTTAAATATGGGATTACCATGATTTATCGCCGGGCGAACGCACGAACCCGCCGCCGGCGGTCGCGGCGCGCGGGGAGAATTTTCTTCTTTATTTTTCTTCTTTTTTTTTTTTTTTTTTTTTTCTAAATCGCTTTCCTCTACGCAGCGCGGTCTCTTGATTAATATTCGTAAATTACGCCGCGCCGCCGTCTGTTGAAGATAGGCAAAAAAAAAAAAATAACAATAATAATAACCGCCCCCGTAAAGTACTGTCGCCGTATACTTACTGTTGTTAATCGCGTCGCGATATTTCACACGACACTCGAAATCAGAACCGGATTAATATTGAGAGGGTGAGGGGGAAAGAGAGGAAATTATAATAGTATTAAAAAAATTACCGTTCCGGCGGGTGGATTTTTCGAAAACCGATAGTTTTTAATGTATTGCCGTCTGTAAATGGTTTCGAGCGGGGACGTTGAAAACTTGAAACCGCACCATTTTAAGGAATGTATTCGTTATACAATGATGGTTATTTTTTAGTTAAACTTAAAACAGGTAATTTTTTGATTTGCCAAGCGGTTTTCGTTATAACAGGGAAAAACACGAACATGTACGTAAATGTTTAAAAGAAATTTCGCTCTAACTTCACACCTATATCAGTGGCCCACCCATCTCGCGAAGTATGTCCTTTTTTTTAATTTTTTTTTTTTTTCGAGAATTATAGCATAATATGCGTCGCGTTGATTTTATAAAATAGATAACATATTATTTAAACAGCGAAATTCGTAGAGTATTTTTATTCATATAACGGAGCTGTCGTATATAATTGACTTTGTTGAAATAGACAGAAAGTGTTGATAGCATAGATAAAAAAAAAAGAATAATAATAATAATAATAAAGATAACCTCTCCGAAAGATTAGTTGAAATTGGAACCAATTAAATATTTTTTCAACTGTCCCGTATAATTTCCCCAAGCGTTCGCGTCCCTCGGGGAATTTCTCGAAGGGTTAAAGTAAGATTTAGATAAAAAAAAAAAAAAAAAAAAAATAAAAGACACTTCTCAACGTCTTTTCCCGTCTGGCTTATCATCAGTCTTCTAACGACGAGACAAGACGAGCATAGAAAGAGGTGGGGAGAGAGAGAGAGAGAGAGAGGAAAAAGAAAAAATTGCCGCAAAACTTGTCGGTCGAGTTTTTTTCACCTCGCGTTCGTTTATATTTCATTTAAAGGGAGGAGACGGGTGGTTACGCTGGCTGGGATCCGGGCTTAGTCGAGTCATTGCGGCGCGAAAGATGTTCGGTTTCAATTACTGGTATACGGCGCGACCGTTTGTTATTTTTGCGTTAAAGAGGGCGCTGCTCGTATATTATATTATAATGTTATATTTATATATTTTTCACGGGTGAAGAGTCTTTTTAGCCAGGAGAGAAGAACGCCCGTTTAAATGAAATAATATATACTGCAACGGCTCGCAACAATCAACACGGGAATATAATAATATACACTTATACTCTGCAAAGAGCCGAGGAACAACTATACTGCACACCCTTTTTTATTATTACTATGACTATTATTATTATTATTATTATTATTATTATTTTTTTTTTTATTTTTCTTTTTCGCGCCCGGGATCTTCTCTATACTTATATATTTTATGCAAAACGCAATAATGGCACGCGGGCGAACGTCGTCGTCGTTCCGAAAGCGCGCAAAGAAGCGTAAACGGAATTTGATTAGTCCCCGAGCGATATTTATGACGACGGCGGGTATTTTTCCTAAATTAATATCTGCGGCCTTATTTACAACTTAAATTGCGCGACAATTGATAATGTACACAAATATAATACAACCACCTCCGTGTTCACGCGCCCCTCCCCGCCGTCTGCACCTTAACGCGCTTTTACGGTTCGTCGTCATCAGCGATTCGCGTGCAGGAATCGCGGATACACTGTCGGTTCGTGTTTAGTTCGTTTGTTTTTCACCGGCGAAACACGATATTCATTTAAACCGTACCTGTTTATCATAAAAGAATACCGACATCCAACGCCACGGCAACCGATGTCGAGGGTCTCGAACGCGGAAAACCGTGCTTTTTCCATTTTCCTATTGAAAAGTTTTCAGTACGGACACAGACGAGTAGACTCGCAATAATTTAAACCCTTCGGTAATTCGAAATAATAATAACAATATATTCAGTACCGCGGTGATTCGTATGAAAACGAATGCATTTCGACACTGTTTCGGAGTGACCACAGCCACCGTCACTCGTCAACTCAAAATTGTTTGAACAAAATCAAAATGCTTGTAACATTAGCTATTTACTGTAGTACGGAAAAGATTTTACTCGATTTTCCCGAATACCGTTGAAATTGCTTATCGTGCAATATACGTGCTTCTTATAACCGTGTCATGTCGTATTTCGAATTATCGAGAGCTTCCCGCCGACTTTGAATTATCGAGACACGACCGTGGCGAATTTTCTGTTCGTGTACAGAATTCGAATGCATATAATATCTAGCAAAAGCGCGTGATTAACAATTATTTATTTTTCAAAAATCAATTGTTAACAACAACAAGAGGTCGGAAGCCAGACCAATACACGGGACGCATCACGAGGAACAACCAACGGTACAAAATGACCCAAGGAATTATATGAAAAATCTCCGCGCCCGGTGTAATGGGGACATCGAATGATTCATTCGGACGGCGTTGGACTGCAGGAGCAACACCGTGAATATGATATCCGACAACCAAAACGGACAGGAACTCGCACAAGGACCTGTAGCCCGTTTTGAAAAAAAAAAAAAACCGAAAATTCAGATATACATAATAGACATGGATCGTTTTACACGAATTATGATGATTATATTATGTCGATGAAAACGAAACGTTCGATGTTTGTCTGTGAAGAGTGAGCGTTCGAAACGAAAAACAATCGATTCAATTCGATTACGCGTACCGCGGTTCGTGTTCAATTTACTATATTGTAATGAGTAAAAATTCACAGGAAAAAAAAAAAAAAAAAAAAAATGTAAAACATATCGTTGTATATTTATTAGAATTGACTAGATAAACATCGACACTGTCAGCGCAGCTATTATACAAAATCACAAAACTGTACACGCGCGTTTTATACGTGAACTCGAACGGATTATAGAATCGATAAATATGGTTTCCGAAACGCGTTTTATGCGGGAATTATTACGTTTTCGAGTTTCCCGGTTACACAAGCGAGCGTAAGAAAATAATATTATGCGATAATATAATATTGGAAAAAAACGCGGCGTACTAAAGAAAAAAAAAAAAAAAAAAACCCCAATAGAATCGGTACGCCTTGCCGTATCGAAACGATATTATAATAATGTAATCGTCTCGCGGATTTATCGATCGGATTTTTTTTTATTTATTTTTTTTTTTTTTTTTTTTTTTTTTTTTTTCGTTCGGCCGTATGCAAATCCGACACCGGCGGTGTAGTATTGCGCATTGTGTTTGTTGCGCGACTTGTTGAATATTTAATGCGATAATAATAATATTATTATCGGCGTAATTTTCGAAAACGCGTGCGCGCCGACGCCGCGCGAAAAACCGACGCTAGTGCCTACGCTGTTTATTGTACGTATGCACTACATAAATTATCACCCGACCGTTGTCGGGGCGACAAACACGCCGCCGCGGGCGGATGGGAAGCGAGAGGGGCGGAAAGAAACGTAAATATGCCGAACATCTGTTTTGGCACACTGTTATTTTAAACGTACGATGGGAGGGGAGGGTGGGGGTTGGGGAGGCGACGTTTATGAATGTATATATATATGTACGCGTAGCGTATGATAATAATAATAACGATAACAATATTATTGTGTACGACAACAACTGAGCGCGCGTTAAATTATTTATTGGTTGACGGGTCGCCGGAGTTTCGGCGTGCACACAGGCGCGCGGGCGGTTCGTTGCGGTCGTCTCTCCGAAAAAGGGGAAAATGATTACTGCGGCCCGACGCGGAGCGTGTTTTTCGACGGGCGGCGGAGAGAAGAAAACGCGACTGTCCGCGAAACTCGCGCGGTCGGCGGGAAAAAAAAAATGAAAAAAAAAAAAGGGTCGGGATCGCCGGACGGCGGGGACAATAACGCGCCCGTGGCCGCGCGCAGTTATGCCGCGTGACCGAAACCCAAAGCCCCCGGCGGACGGCCGGGTGCCGCCGTCGTCGCTATCTTCGCATATTCATCATCGTGTTATTATTATTATTATTATTATTGTCGTCGTTGTTGTTGCGCCGCGCGTACGGTGTGCGCGGAGAGAGCGAAAATATCGCAGGGAGACGGAAACGGACGGAAAGAACCGCGGTACGCGGCCGCGTTTTGTCCGCGCGGCGGACTCCGGACCGCGCCCCTACACGCAGCGACGGCGGCGCTATCTCCGCGGGTCGGAGTCGGTTTCGTACTTGAGGTGTTGCGCGTCGGTTTCGTATCGGGAAACCTTTCGAAACGCTCTTATTTTCGATTCTGAGCGGAGCGGAGCTTTCGGTGTTACAACGGTGTTTTTTTTTTTTTTCCTGACCGGGGGTCACCACTGAATAATTTCCCGTTCACAAAATATTCATTGTCGTTACGTATTCTTACATTGCTAAACGTACATATTCTTGTACAGATTATAATTTACTTTATCGAATAAAAAAAAAAGAAGAAAAATCGTTTTTTCGTTGCGTACAGATTTACATTAAATGTCGACTCTACTAATACGTTTTCCCGGCCTTCTCACCTATAATACTGGCTGCACCCGTCCCCGTTATCCTAGGACAGCTTTTTCTTGTTGAAAACTTTTTCTTTTTTTTTTTTTTTTAGATTCGGAGCGTACCGTACTAACATCATCCGAATATTCGGTGTGCGGTTGTGGTTCGTGTCTTCGTGAGCCTAGTCGTGACGACTTTCGGTGATTTTTTTAAAAACAAATTGTTCGGTTATACGAGGTTTTCACAGTTGTGCACTAACGATGGTACATCGTTGTTATCTTTATGCCCACCGTCGGCACATCAATATTATCTGTGCTATTCGCCTATGAACTACTAACAGTTGTTTCATTAAACTTTTTTATTTTTATCCCGCCGAATGTCGAAAAACAACTAAATAAATCATCAGCAAATCTGTACACGTTCCTATACAGATTTACGGAAAGCCGTGTACGGGACGTCGGGCAAAAAAGAAAACAATATTATCGTCAGCCGTGTATATTGCACGTGAAATTCTCATTTCACATTGTGTATAACGTTTTGATACAAATTATATGCTATGGCGCTCATTTTCGGTGTTAAAAACCACTGTTTTCGTGTCAAATTCCGAATTTTAATAACGCCGTGTCGTCGTGATATGTTTTAACACTAACTTTATATTCGATTCGAATACTATTATGTATGATATCATATTGGAGACCACGGCTTTTTTTAAACCACCCTTTGTGAACCTTTTACAGCGGACGGACGTGTGCGGTCGTGCGATGTGTCCAGTGCAGCGTCACCGTTATCGTTTGACACCTCGAAAATATTGTTATTATACCGCGAACTTCAAGCGTCACAAAATAGGGTGTCGAGAGGTATAATTCCGGTATACCCTACACACATACAAAAAAAAATATTTAAAAAAAATGATACCCATCGTATTTTTTCAAAACGATTTACAATTTTCGGGCAACGATGTATCGAACACTTACATACTTACTTTACATAAATCATATCGTCTTTGTCAATATAAATCAGTACACCTACCTAAAAAACAATATTACGATACATACGTTTGTCTACACAAGTATTTTTATTTTTTTTTTTTCTATGGTTCATGATATTAGCGACGATGATAACCACGATGTGTTATTTATTTGAAACAAATCGTTTTAACTGTACCGATAAAACTCGTGATTTCGTGTCCGGAACGCCTCCTAAATGTCTATACATATTATTATCTCGAAACCTTCGACGGCGTGTTATGAAATTTAAGTTTTTTTTTTTTTTTAAATCGATGAAATTTAAATTTATCCCAATTAAAAGTACGTATAGGTATTTATCGATTGGTGCGTCGGACGAATTATATATCTTTGAAATTTCTATTGGTAAGTATGTAATATTATGTGACGTATACAGATTTGACGAACATTTTCGTGTGCCATATATATTGTAAATGTTCATTAAAAACTTAATAACTAAACGCGTCCGAAAAAAACGTGTAGGCGCATTTTTTTTTATAGGTATAACAGCAAGAGCGTAGCACAGACACATTTTTTCCGAAGCAGGAAAAGTAGGAAAGATCTTAAATTTGTTTTTCATAAATGCGTTCCAGACATTTCATTTAAAATCATCATTCCCAACTCATTTCGGGAGAGAGGTTGAAGCCTCCTCAGCATCTCCGTAAATACGTCCCCGATGTGTATCTGCAAGCATCGAATACGAAAACGTTCGTCCCGTATTTTTATCATTTAGGCGTGTAAAAAATATATTACAGTCGCGCACAAGATTGAAAAAATTGTATTTTTCATCGATAAATATTTACTTAACTATTCCAGGCTCCTGCTGCAGGTATTAAACATAAATATATTACATCAATCTGTGTATAATAATAATATGTAAACGAGTGTGGAAAAGTGCGAAAACTCGAAACGTACTTAGACATGTGTGTATATTACATTATTCATTCGAGTGCAATATGCATTCGATGTGTTTACTCGAAAAAGGAAAATAAACGTCACGTGCATAGTATTATTGTGTGCACACGCACATGATTTTCGTTTGGATTGACACAACACGCGCGTGTAAATCGACGTCATTGCCCTAAGGACGAATCCGCCGTTTATGGTTCGCCGTGAAGTTAATGTCTTTGTAAACAAATAATCGATA